CCTCCCAGCACTGCATTGCTCCCCTCCCCAAGAATAGCCCTGGCCCAGCCCCCCGTGCTGGGATGAGGCCGGCACAGCCCCCAGCCCTAGCCTGCAGCAGATAGCCCGCCCTTGCCCTATGCACAGATCTGGGGGACACATGCCCCCCCCCCAAACCTCCCCTAGGATGTGCACAGCAGCGAGAGCCGCCCCGCCCCAGCTGGGTGCACCTGCCCCACTCCCTCCCTCACTGTGGGGGGCCCCAAACTGCCCAGTGCCCCTTAACTGCCCCATTTTCCCCACCCCCACAGACTGACCAGCTGGACACTGCTCTCCAAGCTGCCGGGCTGCATATCGGCAATCAGTTAGGTGCTGGCCAATATGGCTGGTTAATAATGGCCGTCAGTATCAGCCAAAAAAATCTTTATTGGTGCACCCACTACTATGTAGTTTTAGTAATAGGTTAGGCAAGGATTTGTATAGAATGGTTTGGATAGGAATGATTCTGCTTCTGGCTAGGGGTTGAACTAAATGACCCTGAGGTCCTTTCCAGCCCTACTTTTCTGTGATTCTGTGAACTGTAAAGCTAATTCTGGCAGCTTTCTTGCTGTTAAGATGTGAATGCATATTACAGATTAAAAAAAATCCTACAAATATACTGTCAATGATTCTTAAAGCTGAAGCAAATACGTTTCAACCTGTGCTGCTTCCCTGTAAATTGTTTTAGTTCTAGGTGTAATCCTTTGGGGGGAACCTTTCCAAGGTGTAGAGAATTTCTGAAGACCAGAAGCCTGTATTGCAGCCTTGAGATTCCCAAACTGACCATGAAAACTTTTTGCCTTTGGTTTTATGCCTCGTTCTGAATGGAGGGGTTTAACCTCTCTATACAGGGAAATGGAGGCATGAAATTCTAAAGAGTTCTGTACAAGGATTGCAGCTCCCACTAAAGCAAGACCTCTTCCTTGCTTACTGGCCATAAAAAATTGGAGACTGCAGTGATGTGTGTGCATCAGTGGTTTTCTTCCACTAAACAAAGTAGAAAAAGAAACGTCTCACTCTAACTATAATTATTTCTCTGGGGCTTTTTCCCCTAGTGAACTTTTCTTTTACTTCCCGTTTTAAAACTGGTTAAGCTTTTGGAGGATAATCGTATCTTAACATAAACGTATGCTTGTTTGTTTGTTTTCTATGTTGTATCAGATTTTCTAAAAGTAATAATCACAGAATAAAGTATCAAGAAAATACTAACTTTTTGCTTTCTTATCATTAGGAATGGCTTTCAAAGGGACATGGAGAATACAGAGAGATTCCAAGTGAGAGAGACTTTTTCCAAGAAGTCAAAGAGAGTAACAATGTGGTTTGTCATTTCTATAGAGATACAACTTTAAGGTACTATAAATAACTTCTGTTGAAAAGATTTTGCAGCAATAAGTATACACTGTTTCAAAAACTGTAGGATCTGGGGGTACCAAAATTCCCTAGTTTTTAAGGTTTTGTTTTCTGATCGTTTCAGTGGGACCTGTAATTAGTCACCCAACTCGTAAAGGTAAATACATATGCTAAATGCTCTATGCATAACAGCATCTTGGCATGCTGTCTAATTTAGTAAATTCATCTCAGATAGGCTAAGAATTTGAAGGGGAGCATTTTGCTTCATGGTATCATCAATGCTTAGTTTTGAGAGAAGTGGTTCTTTAAGCGAAAAAAATCATTTCACATCTACCTGAAACTTGTATTTTTCAGAGTTTTAAAGAAAATGGGGGGCAGGGAAATCATTTTTATGTAAAAGCAAAAGGCTAAGTTTACACGAGTACTTGGGCACCATTCACAAAACCTAATTTAAGAGAGAATTTTTCTTTAGATCTGGAATCTGCCACTAGGAAATTTTTTGGGATGTGGGAGATCTGAGTTTATGTTCCCTGTGTCTGATTTAGAGCAAGTATTTGAATCGTTATCTCCCACCCACCTGGAGAATATCCCAAAGTATTAGACCTGTAGTCTGTTTTTGGAAGGAGGTATGTCCCTCAGTGTCACTTCTTAAGGCTATTCACATTGAAACAAAGACTAAACCTAGGTTTTCCTGTTCTCGGGTAAGGGTTCACTAGGCTATGTAGAGACATTGTGTCTGGTACTATGAATACTTAATATTCAAAAGAAGCAGGCTCAGCAAGAGAGAGTGAAAGAGACTGACACCAGCATAAACAGTAATCCAGTGGGTAGGCTGTTCTTTTGGGTAATGGACACCATGGTTCAAATTCCTGCTTTGAATCAAAGTGTGGGTTTGTACCTGAGTCTCTTGCATTCCAAGCGAGAGTCCTTACCAGTGGGCTGTAGTGTTATACGTGGTCAGGGGTCCATCTTGCTGACTTCATAATTATGCCTAAATCCCCTTGCAAATCTAGAATTTTAATTTTTCAAAATGTTTCTTTTCAGTGTTGATTTTTTTTTTTCCTTATTCATCTGAAGCTATTTACATAATTTGACCTGAATTTGAACAGTTTCAAGTTGACTCAGACTGTGTTTTGTACTATACAGGCATTTGCAAAAATATACTCATTCAGACATTTCTTTTAATGTTGAGCAGCCAAGAAAAGGGCTTATGTAAATGAATATAGATAACATTACTTTTGAATGGGTGGCTTTTGACCTCCCTATAGGATGGTTATCTGGCCAGGGGTGGGGGGAGGAATTTGGTAGCAGAAATAGTATGTGGAAAGTTGATGTTGATTTGTTAGTCACTGTACACATCTGACTAGGCTACCTCTTAAAAGACTTCAGCCTGATTCTGCTCCTCCTAAAGTATCGTAGCAAAATTCCACTGAAGCGTTTGGAAAGCGAGCATACCAAGTGAAAACACTCACTACGGAGTTCTGGCAGCCAGCAGCTTGTGGGAAGGTGTATTCTGTTCCATGTATCTCAACCACAAGATTAAGTTACTGTCGCAAGGTGACTAGCTTTTTCAAGGGGTGATGGGTCCAATCCTGTACCTCCCCAGGCAGAGAAAATGAGCAGAGTCCTGTGACAAACAGATTACACAACTAAATTGGGCCTTTTGGGGAAGAGAGGAGACAGAAACGTGAGAGAGAGAGAAGTGGAACTCCCAAGTAAGAAGCCCAGGGAATTGCTGCTTTGTGGTACCAAAATTCCCTGGTCTTTCAAACCTTGCTTTCTGAGAGAGTTTCCTCAGCCTGCTTGGTAAATGGTAAAAAAACCAGTTAGCCATAGGGCTGGATAAGCTGTGCTTCGTAGAAACTCTTCCTAGCTCCCAGGCAAAGGGGCTGGCAGAGATAAGCCTATGGGAAACAGGAACCATTTAGGAAAGCTGCGTTGGAGTGCATGTTTCCTTGTGAACTTTATTAGTAAGCCCATGCCTTTACAAGCATGACCCCTGACAGTCCATGATGAAATTGTTGGGAAGGAGTGGGAAGTGAAAGCATTTCACCTACATGCTGTACTGTGATGGGGTGTGTTCTGGAATGGTACCATGCTGCAGGCACATGTCTGGAGAGCCTTGAAACAGATAACTTAGGTTTTAAGAAATAACTTTTACTCAGCATTCCAGGTAGTTTTCCACTCAACAGTCAGTACCACATCTGATTCTTGATGCTTCAGAGGTGGTCCATATTCTGCAAAACACAAAGACTTAAAAAAAGAGAGGGGCTCAATCCCCTTTAGGTTAGTTCAGGTACCTTTCCATTTCTTTAACTGAGAGGCATGGAATCACTTTTGACACTAGCTGGCTTTTGTTTACAATGGGCCCTGGCCCTTGCCATCTAAAGCTAGACCGCCATGTTTTCCTTAGTATGGTATATCATTTAATCTTCTACTTTTGATGCTTGCAGATGCAGTACAGGCCCCAGCTGTCTATCCATGTATCTGTATGCTCTTCCTAGTCTTCTCCCTTCAAAGGGTGACCCACAAAGCAGTGGAAACTAGGGTTTTCAGGCACGGCACCCTATACTCGCCTGTCCCTTGGGTGGCAACATGTGGCATTTTGTAGAGACTACCTCGCCACAAATAGCTTCACCACATCAACCTGTCTCAAGAGGGTTCAGTTTCCAGGTCCTACCCAGGACCAATCTCTAGGCTCTCCTGCCCTGGTCATCTTCACCCCTCATGGGCACAGTATCTCATTTCTGGGCTCCCTGGCCCCTTTACTTGAGCTGTGGCCACACAAGGCTCTACATTCCAAGATCTTGGCCCCACCTAGGGCCACCTGAGATCCTACGTTTTCCCAGCTCTGGCAGTCTCAGCAGTGGTCTCTTTCAATCTTTTGACCTCTCTAGGGCCCTGGTACTGCCTCTGCAATGCCAGACCTCTCAGTCTCTCAGGGCTTTCCCAGACCTCTTTGGGCTACAGGCTCCTGGACCCCTTCAGTCTCCAGTCTTGTCCCTTGGACTTTGACCCCTCTCTGGGTCCTGGCCCCGCTCTTGGGCCAGTGGGACCTGGACACCTGGCCCTGCTAACACTTGTCTCACCTGGGCTGCAGACCTATGGGCTCTCTGCCTCACTTATGCTCTGCCCCTCTTGGCTTTCAGACCTCTCAGGTCTTTCTCCAGCAGTTCTCTGAAGTCCCCACACTCCCTTCTGGGTCTTAACATTCACCCTATTGGTTTCCCTTTAACTTCCAGCCTTTCTTTCCCTTGACAGACCCTTTTATAACTCTGATGACACTGCTTTAACCATATCCTTCCTGGACTGTAGGCTTCATAATCTGTGCTCATCTGGCGTTGTTTTCTCAGCAAACTAATCCAGCAAAGCTCTGACTTGTATCTGACAGCAAAGCTACTGTCTCTCTAACCTGGTTTTACATTTATCCAGCAAATCCTGTTCTCAGGGTCTCCTTCGCATAATAACTAGATCCATCAACAAACTATATACAATCTTGCAGGAAACCTTCCAAGCCTAAAAAGAACTTCAAAACCATGGGTCAACTTTTCAGAAAAAAACACCTTTTGTTTACACAGCTGCAGTCTGAGCTTTGGTAAACACCTTCCTGCCTTAATCTTTTAACAGTTTCCTTCATAGAATATGCACACTATTCTTGGACAGGGGGAGAACAAAGACATCCCTCACCCCCATCATCCAGTGCACAAAGTGCACGTTGGCACAGTGAACCAAAGCAACCAAAAGAGAATGCACAGGTATCCAATAACATTACTTATCTTCCCTGTGTCCCCTCCTAGCATACTAGGATAATTAGCCACCTCTAAAAATCCAATTTTAGTGACACTTTCTATTCACAGGGATACACAGCATCACAAGATTTCACATCCCCCATCCCTGATCTCAGGGTGGGGCTGGATCCTTCCTGCTCTTCCTTTAACTGTGTCTGAGCTCCCTGAAGCTGCATTGCCTGGCTAACATTCTGGCTTGCCATAACCCATACCAGTAACTTCCAGTTCTACAGTCTCCAAAGCAAATGCATAACACTGCTCCTGACTCTCTGGAGCTTTCTGTGGCATCTGTGCTACTTCAGTAAACAATGTCTTACATGCCATTAACAATCCCTGCAAAGCAGCCCTCTCCTTTAGGCTCTTCGCCTGTCACAAACACATCCATGCTTACAAATGCCTCAGTCCCAAGTACTCTCCTAATTCACACAGTCCTCCAGCAGTGAGGTTAATTTTCTCTGTCCCTGGCTTCCTATTGTACCTGCAATAAGAGGATACCTTACTTAACCCAAGCCGACTTCATACCCTGATCCAAACCATGGACTTCAGGCACTCTCCAAGATCAGGTTGCAGTGCTGTCTTCATCAGAGTTTCTGCTCCCGCCACTAACATTTCTGTACTTCTGTATACTACTCTACCTGACCCAGACAAGCAATCATCCCCTGGTTGGCAGTGCAGCAAACCAATCTCCCACACAAAAGACTCTGACTTGGTAATGGTTACTTAGCTTACAACCCTAGCTGGAACTACCATATGGTTTCACCTCACACACAGGTCTCCACCCATAGTTCCACAGCCTCACCCTACCAGGAGTCTTGGTTGACCCCTCAAGAGGCTCACTCTGTACCAACAAATTCCCTGATCAATCAGGTTACTGCCCTTGAGTACTAGTGGTCAGTTGTTGGCACTGGACTTGGTCCCAGTCCCAGAGTCACAGGGTCTTTGTCCTGGTGGAGTCGCCAGTTGTTGGCACTGGAATTATGAGCCAGGTACCTTGTTTCAGGTGGGCCCAAGCTCTCAGATCAACTACGACTTCTCCATTCAATAATAGGCAAATTTTATTGATACACAGTGATAGCAGATAAGAATAATGCAGGCAAGGCAAAAAAAATAACCCCCCGATCTGTTAGTTTTAGGGCTGTCAGAGGGAAGGTACATCTGACCAGTACATGAACTTCACCCTGTGGTTCTTTCTTGAATGTCATATGTCAGCAG